TTCCTTTTAAGTGTTACATTTACATCGGCTCATATAATTTTAGCATATACTGTATGTGGTATGTATAATATAGGGTATGTTTAATATAATTAAGGGTTATGTAATTTCTGCTCCACATCATTATCGTCCTAATGGCTATAGGACAGGGTGTTGTGGACGGTATGGCAATACAATATTTTAACAAATTATAATATTATTTGCATTATCTAATTATTTGCACTAAAGATGAAATTAAGATAAAATAAAAATAAGATAAAAGATATTTTTAAATACAACAAAAATATTTTTCAACTTTTTTTGCAGTTAACAATTATGTAATAATAATAATAGTTTTATTTAAGGGATATTTTAGTGAAAATACATAATTTAAATATCTATAAAATAATGTTAAATCATTTCATATAAAGTGGTTCTTTATTAGTGGTAAAACATTTAATTAAATATGAGTTAACTGTTTATACCATTGTTTATAGAAAAATGAAATCATATTTGCAAAATATTTTGCAAATAATATTCACTTTATAATTTTATAATTATTAAAAAATTTCAATATTCATCATGAAATACTAATAATTTTTTACAAAAACAAGTTACGAAATATATTATATTTAATTTAAAATTATGACTGTTAAAGTGAACATTCACACTCAAGTATTCAGATAAGTATAATAATAAAATATTCAGCAAATAAATACACATTCTATTTAATAATTTTACAATAAATACCAGTTTTGTAACACATATTATGGCTGAAAGTTTGAAAGTATTGTTCGTGCCGTTCGGTCCCGATATCGGACACGTGAATGTCTCCATAGGAGTGGCGGAAGTGCTGCTCAGCGCCGGACACCGACCCATATTCCTGATTGACAGCCACTGGAAGGCACGGCTTAGAGACTATGGCATCGATTCTTGCGATATAAACGACGACTCTATGGAAGACAAACAAAACATGGATACAAATCATGTAAAAGAGTTGTCCACCCAAATGGTCAGAACGGGTGGTATTGGACCCAAAACTGCTCTCCAGAAAGTTGTCAATAGAGGCCGAGTAGCGGCTGATTGGATGCATCGGGCGATTAAATTAGACAAACTTTTGGTCACTTTATTGCCGTCAATCGCACCCAACCTTATAATTGCTGAACAATTGCTATCTATACCCGCCATTGAACTATCGGGTATACCGTATGTATGGCTCAGTGGTTCCAATCATTTGGGAATGTGCAATGATAATAGACTACCGCCATCCACCTCAGGTAGATTTATTATTATTTAAACAAAATAGACTTAACATATAATATTATAATAAACATATAAATAAACTATATGTATATTCAGCACAAATATTGATTCAAAATCAAACATAATGAGTAGAGAACTTCTGATCATTTTGGGATCATTTTCTATATATTAAAGTGTAATGACAGATTTATCACTAGGTCAATACATTCATAATTTGTTGCTTATAATGCGAAACATATAAATAACTTATAATATACTACAATATATAATAATGCTATTATCATTTATAAAATACTATAAATAACAATGTATGTAAATTATATAATTTAATAATAAAAGACAGATGGCATTCATTGCCCTCAATATCCGTTTGCAAACCTTCAGTTAGTATTCAGTCGTCGTATCACTAATTAATTATCGCTTTTGTTTTAAATAAAACCGTTTTTCTTGTATCAAAAATGCGTTTATTTGTCTGAAGAGCTAATCCAACCTTACAATAATAAACAGGTTTATCGGCGACTGATGTCAAAGAGTGGCAGATATTCAGAGACGTCCGGAATCGGGCGGTGAATGAGGTATGGATTCAATGCAATGATTACGTCATCTCAAGAGGTTGTCAGCCATTGAAAGAGAATGAGTTCGCGAATAATGACAAATGTCTTAATATCTATGGCTGTCCTCTGGAATTGGATTATCACGACTTGAGACCATTGCCTAAGAATTACATACGTTTTGATAATCTGATGCGAATCGAGAAGAAAATACAATTTGAAATACCAGTGGAGTTGAGGGACAGACCGGGAAAGTTAGTCTACTTTTCATTGGGATCTATGGGTGCGGCAGATGTGGACAATATGAAGAGATTAGTGAATATATTGTCAAAATCTAAACACAGGTTTATTGTATCGAAAGGACCGCTTTATGACGAGTACTCATTGGCTGATAATATGTGGGGCGAGGGGTCTGTCCCTCAGATCCAAGTCTTACCGTTAGTTGATTTGGTTATAACCCACGGCGGGAACAATACAGTGACCGAGACGTTTCATTTTGGCAAACCTATGATAGTTTTGCCACTATTTGGCGATCAATGGGATAACGCACAGAGAGTTCACGAGAAAGGGTTTGGTATACGACTCGATGCCTACAAGTGCTCCGAAGAGGAGTTATTGAATGCAATCGAAAGTCTGTTAAATAATAAGGAATTGAATGAAAAACTGATGAAAATATCGCATAGAATACAATCGGATAATAGTATCGCAAAACTGCCCGAAATTATTGAGGACTTCATTCAAAATCCACAGAAATATAAATTTTGAATTTAAAATTGTTTTTTATAAACAAATGTTTTCTTCAAATGTAAACGAGTTAAGTATTTGAATGATTAGTTTCTTTCTTATTAATAGAATGGATATATGTTTTAACAAAAGAAGAATTAAATTTGATGTAACTTTGATTTTACAATAATTTGTTGTAAACATAAATATAACTTTTTGAATAAATAAATTCAATTTTAAATTAATTGTTCTCACTAAATTCAATTAAAAAATGATATTTTTATAGTCATTATAACAATTATTTTAATATAACAATTAGTTTTATTTAATTACATTAGAATTAATCCCAAAATGTTATCAATCATAACAAGTGATTTACCGATTCACGGTCTCATGCATGAAGTCGCACATCCGCTATAAACAGCCAGTAATCACATGCATCTGAGACCACATCATTGTGAATGAATGCAATTCAATAGATGTGTCGCACATTATAACGACTGAACGTTGTGTTATAAATAGTGTTTACATTACGCGCATACTTTGTGTAAAGGCGTACGATTATTGTCCGCCAAATCGATTAATAGAATTGTGATACAAGAGTGCAAACGTTTGTGTGATTGTTATTTGGACAACACTGGGCAGCAGTGAATGTCGCACCATCTCAGACGAACAATAATCACAACAGTCTGACACACGTGAATGCAATCAATACAAAACATGTGATTCTTATTACGAGTTCTCATTATCATACGTATTAGAAGGTGCATTGTATATATTTTAACATAATTGCCCATTAAAAATAATTTGAGAAAAATAACAATTAAAATAAACTTGGTGTTTATTCCTCCTAAGGATTTATTCTTAGTTAAATGTTTACAATTAGAAAACATATAAATATATATAATATATTAATTCAGTATAGATAATAATAGATAAAGAATGATCAATTTATTTGCATTTTAAATCAACCCAAACTCGCGGGTATGATAAGCGTATCCATTGATTACGAGTATCAGAGCAGTCAATACTCGTATCTAATATTGTATTCATAGTATTTTCGGTGAGAAACACTTCAAAAACATTGCGATCCAAGTATTTCAGTGAACCGGAACCCAGTCGTACAGTAGTCGCACATCCGGTCGATTCAAACGCGTGTCTATCGAACGGATCATTTAGTGGCGAATCAAAAAAGATTTCAAATCTCTTATCAGTTGTATTGTGACCAACGGTGAAGGCGCGATCGGCCACCTGATCTACCGTGCTGATTTTATCGAAGTACACTTCTTGTATATTCGGCAAATTGATCAACGCGTAGGCAGATATGAACTTAAGTGGGTTGTTAAAAAATTGTATCCCCAGCAACTTCTTCAGACCTGATATACTAAACGATGGCAGTGATTGTACGCCAGTGTTGTAAAACTGTAATATTTCCAACCCCTTTAACGTGCTAATTGCCCCAAATAAGTCCGAGTTGTTTGTCAAGTATTCAGTGACCGGTGCGTTGGCAATATAAAAGTCAGTGATCGTAGCGGCCGTTCCGTCAAACGCCCCGACGTTTATACTCTTTAAATAATAGCTATTGATGTAAATGTCAGTGAACTGAATGCCGCCGAACGCGTTGGCCGGCAGTTCTTCTATAACCAGTTGATGTAAATTCAATATTCTAAACGGTTTCCTATCGGCCGGTAGTCTACGGCTCAGGTCAGTCAATACGGCCTTTAAATCGAACATCTCTTTACTATCACAGATAATGTCGCAAAACGAGTCTACACTATGGTAATAGCATGGTGATTTAATTGGCACATCAGTGGGACAATCGCCAATCACGTTGCTAATTAACGTTATTAATTCCAATAGAAATACTGTAAAATAATAATAATATTAATAAATCTTTTATATTCTTTACAGAAATACTGAAAAACAATACTTTTATAATGCATTATTAACCAATATATAATATTATCACTTAAATATAATTTTAGTTAAATAACTTGTGATTTCACTGCTGTGAATACTTTTCATAACAGATGTGGCTTTATTTATATTTAACCAGTTTAGATAGTTTATCATTAAAATTCTATGAGAGGTTTATCATTGTTATGGAAATGAAAATATTCAGATGCATTTCACTTTATAAGCTTATTTGTAATGCACTGATTAGAATAAATATTGAAATTTTTACTTTTAAAACTCAACAATGTTGAATTAATCAATCAATCATGCATAATTATTTTATACACATGACCAAGACCGCTATAAATGAGAGAAAAAGTAATTTTATTATGACGTGGTTATTGAATGACCAAGTTAAATTTTCAAATATTATTTAAAATAATTGTTACTAATTAGTGAAAAGAGTTTCCCCGATTCATAAATAAATATAAGCATTAATGATACAAATAAAATGAGTTATATGTTTAAATACCACTTTTCATATTCATGTATACTATATATGAGTAGCGCTTGAATAGACTATGAATTACACAGCAATTGTTTTATAAAATAGGCCTCTAAGGCCTACAAATAGCATCTAAGCACATGACCTTAATAGTAACACACATAATCTTTTATTTTTGTAGACCACAAATGGTCAAACAAATGCAAAGTTTTAAATTAAATACATTTAAGCGCTATTTAAAAGTACAAAATAATATTATTTAATACTTTATTTAATTTTGTATAAGAATTTCAATAGATTTTATAATATTACTTTTGAATTTAATTAATTTCCAAATACTTATTGATTTATCATTCCATATAAAATGCTTAAATTTTAATTCATGATTTAATAGAAGAGAAAATTATAATGATAAGTTATAATTTTTTACATGGACATTTTGTGCATTAAAACTTGCGCAAGCTTCTTTAGTATTAATTAAATGATTAGTAAATTGTTGACTAATACTTAATATTATTTGAATGCATTAAATCATTGAAATCATCATCATTGAATCAATTAAACAACTTTACACTAATTGATTGTATATTAAATATAACAAACGTTACTTTATTAATTTAATAATAATATATTCATTAAAATATTTAATCATCTTATTTATAAATTGTTAGGTAAAAACAGTTTATTTTTAAACATAAATTAACACAAAATGAATACATTGTTCATTTTAAATAAACTAAAAATTTTAAAAATACAAACAACACAAAAAACAAATGAAACAAAAACCAAACTAACACTAAAAGACAGATAATAGCCATAACCCTATGGCCCGACCGCGACGGGTAAGCATTGTTACTATAGATGAAGAGCATGGGGTGGGCGGGGGTGCGGACACCACCAGCGCTGACCCAATCATCCAGTGGTCACAACTAGATCACGGGCGCCAGTGGTCTGCGGATCTGCCACTACTGGAAGCGTTGGGCTTTCAATTCGAGGTAAGATTAGGTGAGGGGGCGTTCGGGGAGGTGTGGCGGGTGCGAAGGGGCGACCGGAAAATGGCGGCCAAAATACTACATATCCGTAGTTTCCGACCGCTGGACACGCGAACAACACTGGCCTCGACTGTGGCCGAAATGCTCCGGGAGGTAGAAGTGGTGCGACGCCTACGCCACCCAAACCTGGTGGCCGTCGAAACCGTGGCCCACGTGTCGGATCCGCGCACGGGTTTCCGCACACTCTTCGCCGCTTTACTCATGGAACTGATGGACGGCTCGCTCACCGACCGGATGACAGGCTCGGGCCCCGACGGCTACCTCGACGAGACACAGGCGTGGTATTGGTTCGCGCAGATAATGTCTGGCCTGAGCTATCTTCACGGCCAGAATCCGGTCGGCTATGTCTGCCATTTGGACATAAAGCCCGAGAATATTCTGTTCGCCACAGAATCGGCGCATCAATACGTATACAAACTGTCCGATTTCGGTACGGCTCGGGTGTTCACCGACGGTAATCCTGTGGTACAACACCCGCCGGCCGGCGGGGATCCCCTCTACGCGGCCCCTGAACTGACCCCTGACGCTCATACCGGGCCCGTCAGTCTGGACAGGTGTGATGTGTATTCCCTGGGCCTGACTCTAGCCGTATCGCTGATCGGTATGGAAAACCTGAGTCCGTGGCTGAGCGACACTAACCCGCGTCAAGACCCCCAACGACTGGTCACCGATAGGCTCGTCAATAGGGGCCGTTTTCCCGCCGCTCACCCATTGGTGCGCCTGTTGTACGGCATGTGCGCCGACGACCCCAACCAGCGTATGACCACCGCTCAGGTACTCGATTGGCTGCACCAGCAATGGGTACTCACTTATATGGATATGAATTACGTTCACAACTATTACTGATTTCATTGACTGTTAGAAACACAATAGAAAATACAAATCAATACTTTATTGAAGTTTTATTTGGTGTTTTGCTATTTTGTGAAATATTTGTTACAATTAGTAGAGAATTTAAATTACTTAATTTAAGTTGAGCTTAACTAAACTAATATTATTATAATTTATTGTGTTTTAAAGTAGATTAATGCCTGAATAGTTATTTCTAAAATTATTAAACATGTTTAATGCATAATCCTTCTCTAGCCGATAACATACCAGTACTTGTTGTATGCAATTTGGGATCATGTTTAGCAGTGATCTAATTATAACACAATAATGAGTTATAAATAGTTAAGGGATCAGGGTCACATTTGTATGGGAAATGAAACATTACTAAATACACGTACTTTGCGAAAATGTTTTGATAAAATAAACTACTTTGATAAAATAAATTACAAAACAAAAACTATCCAGATGCTTATAAAGATTCCTGGTGCAACCATTACCGGAATCAATCACTATAATAATTATATTATTGATAAAAATACATGATTAAGAATACTTATATAATAATTATAGTTTATATTTTATTTAATATCCCACGTTGTTTACCATTGTGAATTAATTATAACAAACATGGTACAAAACTCTATGCAAACAATTGGAGTACGATTAAACTCAAATCAAACGTGTGGTTAGATTCACACAATTGGTGCAAAGTTTTGCTATTAAATGAAAAACAAAATTAAACACAAGTCTGTATTTAATAAGAATTTATAAATTTAAAAACTTGCGTTAATTAAATTAAAACATGATATTAAATAAACTCATATATTTACTGCCATTAATAGCATTATTAATATATGAAACAAATGGCGTGGAGGACAAGAACCCAGAGGTGGGCGCCAACCGTTACACCCCTGACTGGAAGTCACTAGACTCTCGGCCCCTGCCTGGTTGGTACGACCAAGCTAAATTTGGCATTATGATGCACTGGGGCGTGTACTCCGTGTTGGGTCTAGGTGGTGAATGGATATGGTGAGTGTTGATTGTAATAATAATTATAATAAATATGGTTAATTTTAGTTATAATTATAAACATCTAGGTATAGATGGAAGGTCGCGCATGAGTTTAAGGACTATTTTGGCAAATATGTCAAACCAGGCGTCACTTATCAGGACTTTGCTAACGAGTTTACCACAGAATTGTTTGATCCAAACAAATGGGCAGATATTATAAAGTAATCAATCTTTGATTAAAACAATAGGTTGACCATGTTTGTTTATAACCATGTCTTGTAGAGCATCGGGTGCTAAGTATGTGGTGCTGACCACCAAACATCACGAGGGTTTCACACTCTGGCCATCAAACTACTCGTGGAGCTGGAATGCCATGGATGTGGGCGCGCACCGGGACTTAGTCGGTATAGTGTACAACAATTTGACAATTATAATTCACCTTATTTTGTGACTTATGTCTGACTTAATCTACGCGTGTAATTGTTTAGGAGAGCTGTCGACGGCTGTCCGTAAGGCTGGCCTCCGGTTCGGTACCTATCACTCGCTGATGGAGTGGTTTCACCCGTTGTTTCTTAAGGACCAGTCAAACAAGTGGAAGACCAACGAGTTTGTCACAGTAAGTGACACATTGATGAAATATGTGTATTAAAATGACATTTATGTTTTACCTAATGTTGATATGAAGAATAAAATCAATCCCGAAATGATTGAATTGGTGGAGAAATATAAGCCCGATATAATCTGGTCCGATGGCGACGCCGGCGCACCCGACACCTACTGGAAGAGCTTAGACTTCTTGGCCTGGCTTTACAACGATAGGCAAGTGTTTTTTACCATAAACCATTTATGACATAAAACATGTGTAGTTTATTAATCAAAACAATTTTATTATATTAGTCCCGTTAAGGATGAGGTGATAGTAAATGATAGATGGGGTAAATATGAAACGCATATATGTTATTTTAGTTGTGTACATAATGAAATATAATCTGATCTAGGCGGTGGCACAGCGTGCAAGCATGGTGGATTTTACAACTGCAAAGACCGGTATCTGCCAAGCGTTGTGCAGCCACATAAATGGGAAAATGCCCTGTCAGTTGACCATGGTGGTTGGAGTTATACCAGACAGTTTGGATTCAATGACTATATGACAACGTACGAGCTCATCTCACAAATGGCGCAAACAATAAGGTAATGTCATTTTAAATGACTCATTTAGAATGCCATATAAAACATGGTAAATAAATTTATAATATTAATTGGTTTTTGTATTTGTAAATATACAGTTGCGGCGGAAATATCTTGATAAACATCGGGCCGACACCTGACGGCCGGATCATACCATTGTTTGAAGAGATACTTCGGGACATTGGCTCCTGGATGTCAGTGAACGGTGAGTCCATTTACGGCACCAATCCGTGGACACATCAAAACGATACGGTCACAGACAAAGTCTGGTAAATATCACGTTGGATTGATTTTATATTCACTTGTATTTAGTTAACAAATATTTAATAACTAATTAATAGGTATACGAAGAAAGAGAAAACCGTTTACTCTATTGTATTGTTTTGGCCCAAGAATTATGATGTGATTCTGGGAGCCGTTGACCACAACACCGTTCAGTCCATACAACTGTTGGGAACGACCGGTAATCTGGTGTTCAAAGCACATGAAGATAAGGGAACTGTAGTCACGTTTCCCTTCGTAAGCCCCGATACCCTCCGATTCGCTTATGTTCTCAAAATTAATTTCAAATAATTATTTTTTAAAACTTTTATTTTTAAGCAATATTTGTATTTATAAAAATATAAATTAAATTAAGTTTAAATAAAGTATTAAAAAGAATATGTAATGGTAAAATATATAAATAAAAGCCAAATAAAATTATTATTAAATTTATAAACAATGTAATATTGTAATTAACAATTAGCAAATTTAGATAATTATAAAATAAATATAATTGTTTGATAGAAAATATTTAAATCTCCAAAAATCAAAATGCAGTAAATATTTATTGTTTTTCAAAGTGGTTGATATACTTCTGGACATTTGATGTCTGAATGCCAGTCAATTCTTGCAGTTTATTCACATCCAAACCATCGGTATTTAATTTCTTGTAATTAGCATTTAAAGTATTGTTCGGTCGGTTTGTGTCCAGTCTGTCGTAATCATTGTTTTCTACCTCTTTGTTATCTAAACATTTCAATTAAAATAATTAATTAACAAATTGTATTGAGAGAGAGAGAGAGAGAGAGAGAGAGAGAGAGAGAGCACAAACTCTTAGGATTGGAGACATCATCGTAGGGGTCATCCCTTTGGGCCACAATCTCTTTGAGCTCATCGATAGAGTGGTATTGATTTCTGGCGTAAAGACTCTCATCAGACATAACTGACTGTCCGTCCATTGAGTCGACGAGTGAATTGACATTTAAATTCATATTCAAGAGATTGTTGTTCAATAGTTTAACATTTGTTTTATTAAATTTATGGTTAACCGCCTTATTATATACACATCCAGGCGTGACATGTGTCATATCATAGCTGCGGTTACTAACAGCTTGTCGATCGGGAGCGTTGGGTTTGGAGGAGAATGTGGTCATCCTATCTATGCGCACATTTCGCAGCCATCGCTTTTGCCGTTTCAAATAGATTACGGCCCCAATGGTCAGCACCGGTAGTAACAACCCTACAATGGCTGCTATGCATCCAATAAACATCCAGGTGCTCAACCTTTCTGTACTATTCATCTCAATTGGCGCGCTCTCGGCTGTGACAGACAACATGGTATTAAAAATATTTTTAATAGCAATTGAGCACGAATTCACGAGGGTCATACAATCCCCCACATTTGTTATCTTGTTAAATTTATTTATAGATATTGTAATAATTATATCTTACGTTCAGTTGCATTGTTTGCAATAGTTTGTGACCCATTATTTGTATCGTCGCTTTCAGTGCACCTGAAATATAAAAATTATTTTTAATAAACACTTTATAGTTAGTTATGTGTTTACATACCAACGTCCAGTATAACCAGGCTCACAATCGCATTCACCGCTAATTTTACATATAAAAAACACAAATTGATATATTATTAACAAGTTTTGAGTTATTATCATTATAAAGTTTAATTAAATTCAATGCAAGTACGTTTGTTTATCGCATAACCCTCGCTGACACCGGCACTTGCGTCTACATCCTGAGCCATATCTGCCCACTTTACAGGGCGTCTGGCAGTGGTCTCCCACCCATCCGGGAGAGCACCGACAGTCGCCAGTCTGGGCCGTACACTGCGAGTCGTGCAGACACTGGCAATCATTGGCACAATTCTGCCCCCATTTGTCTATTGGACACACTTTTGAAATATTGTTTTTTGGGTTAGATTTATCACTATTTTCATAAAATTATTAAACATGATATTCAATATCTACTTACACTGATTACACGTACTGCCCGTCCATCTAATGTGCATATGTTTTATACAATTATACAAATGCAAAAATATAATAACTTAATTACGGAAATAGCACTTACCCGGGATCACAGACACAGGTTTCCGGATCAACACATACCCCATGAATGCACTGATTGACGCAAACTGCTATTTAATTATGTCAATAAATGTTATAGTTAAATCTAGTATAAATAGCAACTAGATGTTTACTTACGGACACAGCGCTCGCCTGTCTGTCCATAACCGGGACAACAATCATCAATAAAATACTTATTGATTTTTGTCTCAGTTTTCCAGCGTTGCTCATAATTAATGCTTTTAATTACAGTATTATTACAGTATTAGCATTTATTCAATACAATTAATTTAAATTAAATATAATTATAAAATTAACCTGGTCGTTGAACACAAAAGGGGCCATTCCAGACAGAATTTAACTGAATGCGTTGGTATAGCAACAGTGAATGGCACTTTGAACTCGGTCATTTCTCTAACAAATAACAATTTATTAAATAATTTTAGTTTAAAATATTATTTTTATTTTTTGTCACTTTATCTCCTTTTGACAGACATTTTCGCCATACAATGCGACACAAGTGTCCACAAAGATTATGGCAATCAGTATTTTAATCATGTAATCATTAAACATTTTAAATAAAGTTTTTAATTAATTAAATAATTTTATGGTTTGTATTTGCAATTCAAATGATAAATAAATAATTTAAAATCTTGTTTTTTTAACTTGAATTGAAAGCAATGTAATTATCATATGATTTAATAACACTGTGTATTGAAAAATGTTGCCTAAAATTCAATATCAAATCACAAATATTTGTCTCAATTTTCAACACTTTGAACGGATTCTCATTAACAACGAAATGTAATTTTAATCTCATTATTAAATGTAATATAATTTAACACATATTTTATGTTTTTATTAAACCCTTAATATAATATCATTTGTATGGGAAAAGACGATTCAAAAATATTTATTCAATTATAAAAACAAACAAATGTACTTAATTAAATCATAATATTTGATAATCTATTATTTTAACCTATTTAAATCAGTTATTGATATATTGAAAATTATGTAACTGGATGCAAAATATTTATAAAACAACAATTTTGTAATTTAGTTATATCGTAGCATTTAGTGTAACTGTACATTTTTTTCAATTAGATAAATAGATTATTGTCATTGTAATTGTAATCTACAGTAATCACTTTATTGTAAATTATAATTATCACATTTAATAAAAATATACTTTTTATTTGTTGAGTAGTTGATAAAAAAAGAAACTTAATTGAAAATCATTTTTAACAATTATTATAATTAATAGATATTTGTTTAACTAATTTATATTTAGTTAATAAATGATATTTATTGAGAGCAAATAAATCCTGTAATGTAAGTTTAAAACAGAATTTCGCAAACGTATCGATACTCATAATAAACTATTGTGTTTGAAATTAGACACAGAGCAAAAATCAGATATGTTTTGCACTAATTAAAGTGGTTCAATTAATTATTTATACTCGAGTATTATTAATATATCGATAAAATACTTATTAATTTTTTAATATTGTAGATTAATTATGATTACTGATTAAAATAAGTACAAGCATATCACATACATGTATTAAGCAACACCTAATCACCAATATAAAATACCATACATAAGAACCAGGGTTTATTTAAAATTTTACAAAAGTTATCACTTTCAATAAGTTTGTTTTTATGCCGGTTATATAACAATGGCTTAAATTAAACCAACAAACACTTGAAAACTATGCCCTAAAACACAGAAAACAGCACTTAATTTATCGTCAATTATGAAGTGATTTGTTATGCATAATCTTTTTTTGACAATAAAAAACACATTCCCATAGAAATAATACGGTATAAAAGTGAACACAAAAAGGCATTATTTTAATTTTATTTAGACTTGCCTTCGGAGGCACACAAATATTAAAACGTTTATTAAGTAATCGTTTTAAAAACAGTAATAAACATCAATAATTTCACAAACAAACTAATTATCATGACTTCAAAGTGGTGTTTGATTAGTCTGTTTGCACTATTGGCGGTGCAGGTGTTGAGCGCACCCAATGGGACCAACCCTACGGCCCGATACGAGGCCAACTGGGCCTCGTTGGACAAGCGGCCCCTCCCGGGCTGGTACGACGAGGCAAAGATCGGGGTGTTTCTACATTGGGGCATATTCTCGGTGCCCTCATATGGCGACGAGTGGTTTTGGTCAGTATTTATATTCAATTTAACCAAAACTTACAAAACATTTTATTGATTACAACGATATTAATTAGTATTAATTTTTTAATGTGTTTGCGATGATAGGTATCGTTGGAAAGGGGATAAAGTGCAACATTTCATTGATTACATGAAAAACAACTATAAGCCGGGCTTCACGTACCAGGACTTTGCCGCCGACTTCACGTGCGAGTTCTTTGACCCCAACCACTGGGCAGATGTGCTCAGGTATGTCGTTCATTATGACAATCATTTTAATGTTAGTAAGTGTTGCAAATCAAAACACCATGTGTAGATCTTCGGGTGCTAAGTACGTGGTGATGACCACTAAACACCACGAGGGATACGCGATGTGGCCCTCAAAGTACTCTTACAAAATTCACTTTTGCATCGCTATTATCAGTACTTCAGTACTTAAACATCACTGCATAAAACAGTACATAAAAACAAAGATTAAATATTTGTAATTAAATGCCGGCTTATAAATAAGATATTGATTAACATAACAATATTCACAATTGAATTACAGGCGACTTATCAAAGGCTGTGAAAGGGGTTGGCCTTAAGTTTGGTGTCTATCACTCGCTGATGGAATGGTTTCACCCGCTCTTCAAACAGGACACAGACAGCGGTCACAGAACGCAATACTTTGTCGATGTATGAAATAATTGAACAACATTCATTAAATTAATTATAAATAACATCTAGAATAAAATACTGCCCGAATTGCGTGAATTGGTCAACAATTATAAGCCGGACATAATCTGGTCGGACGGCAACGGAGGCGGAGATCCCAAGTACTGGAAGAGCGAAGAGTTTCTCGCCTGGCTTTTTAACGATAGGTAAATCATATATTATAATTAGCTTAATGCTAAACATCTTACTTAATTTTTTGTCTACATTAGTCCCGTTAAGGACACTGTTGTTGTCAATGACAGATGGGGTAAGAGATTTAATATAAAATTTAAATCACCATAATAAATGTTAATTTGTCACTGAATAGGCGAGGGCTCGGATGGTCACCATGGTAGTTTCTATAACTTTGCCGATAACTTTAATCCCGGTGTATTAGTGCCCCATAAGTGGGAACACATTGACACCATTAGAAAGGGTTCGTGGGGTTATACACGTAATATTAATTTATGGGATATTTTAACACCGTTGGAAATGCTACGACAATTGGCCATGGCCATCAGGTACAGGCCATTGATGATGTTTTATTGAATATACAGTTTTAAATAATGTTATTTAATATAAATCTAGTTGCGGGGGTAATATGATGTTCAATATTGGGCCCACAAGAGAGGGCACAATTACCCCGATATTTGAGGAGCGATTGAGACAATTGGGTGATTGGCTTAATGTCAACGGAGAGGCCATCTATAGTAGCCATCCCTGGACTCATCAAAACGATACCTTAACTAAAGATATTTGGTATTTATATTCATTTTTAAGAAACTTTTATTGATTTAATTGTGATTTTTATTCAAAAATGTTGTTTTATAATAGGTTTACATCGAAAGACAAAAATGTTTACGCGATTGTCTTGTTTTGGCCGAAGAATAATGAGGTAGAGTTGGGATCCGTTGCACACAATTCAGTCAATACTATCCAACTATTGGGAGCCGACGGCAATCTTAACCACAGGGCGGGCGGCGGAGACCACACAGTCGTTACATTTCCTCACATTAATCCCGAAATACTTAAAACCGCTTATGTTTTAAAAATTAATACAAAATGATTTCAAAAAACAGACAAAATTAATTAATTAATTGTTTAATTATATTTGTGGTTTTTATTATAAATTTATATAAAAAATAGCATTTAACAGATAATGGGCATGTTAATTTTAAGGCATTCTTGTATTGGGTAATTATTTGATAATTACAATACTTATTGTAAGTGTTCCAGTTCAGATTTGATAATAAATAAAATTAAAATATAATCATATCTATTTTTACGCTGATAAAATTATGGTATATTACCGTAAACAATATGTTTTTGCACTACATTACATTATATAACACTTACAAAAATATAATGATAAATATTTAAATGTAAAACTAATCTATATAAAAATTTATAAATGCTTATTTTATATATAAAATATATTTTATGTGTTTGAAATAATATTCGCATCTCAATAAACTATCAATATATAAAATTAAAAACAAAATTCAGTATATTTGCACTTAAACTGAAACAACCTTCACGTAACGCTTTTCGCAAATTAGCAAATAATAATTGTTAATAATTAGTTATTATTAACTAATGATAACACAATCAACAGATGCTATAAGTCTTGAGGAGCTAAATGCACGGTTCAGCCAAAGGTAAACAGTTATTGGATACAAATATATCACTAAAAATTACTTATAAATAACCCTTAAATCTCACTAACTTTTCATTTCACACAAAAAACACCATGACTTCAAAGTGGTGTTTAATTACCGTGTTGTCAGTGCTGGTGGTGCAGGTGTTGAGCGCACCCAACGCTACCAAACCCACGGCCCGATATGAGCCAAACTGGGCCTCATTGGACAAACGACCTATACCTAAATGGTTTGACGAGGCTAAAATAGGCATATTCATACATTGGGGTGTATTCTCTGTGCCAGCCTATGGGGACGAGTGGTTTTGGTCAGTCAATGGCCACATAAATCATAACATTTTTACCATAATTTAACAACAATTTTACATTTATTAGGCACCGATGGAAGGATGAAAAGGCCCAGTATTTCATTGATTTCATGAAGAAAAACTATAAGCCCAACTTCACCTACCAGGATTTTGCCAAAGAGTTTACGGCTGAATTATATAACCCTGGTCATTGGGCAGATGTGTTCAAGTAATTTGCTTTTTGTTTATATAAAATAATCAAGTTAATACTATCTTATTTGTGTTTGTTTAGGGCCTCTGGAGCTAAGTATGTAGTGTTAACGTCCAAACACCACGAGGGCTATACTATGTGGCCCTCGAAGTACTCTTACAGCTGGAACGCTATGGATGTCGGACCCAATCGAGACTTAGTCGGTATGTAATCATCATAAATACTTGCATTATTAAATTCAATGTTGCTAGATCGATGTTTTTAAATGTCGCTATTATAATAACGACTATCTAATGGCAAGTATCTATATATTAGGTGACTTAGCAAACTCGGTGAAGGCATCGGGCCTTAAGTTTGGTGTTTACCACTCGTTGATGGAGTGGTTTCACCCGCTGTTCGTCGAGGACGCCAACAATGGACACAAAACACAGTATTTTGTTGACGTAAAACATGATTTAAAAAACCACCAGAAAAAATTAAGTAACATTGACATTTAAAATATCCGCAAATATGACCTAGGCCAAAATACAGCCCGAATTGCGTGAATTGGTCAACACTTATAAGCCTGAGATTGTTTGGTCGGACGGCAACGGAGGCGGAGATCCCAAGTACTGGAAGAGTGAAGAGTTTCTCGCTTGGCTTTACAGCGATAGGTACTTAAAGACATAATGACCATGCTCAATTTTAACATTAATTTAATTACTAAACAATTATTGTATTTGCAGTCCCGTTAAGGACACTGTTGTGGTCAATGACAGATGGGGTATGAATTGGACCCAAATACGATCATTTAATAATTATTAAAATATTTATTTAATATTTGGGCTACAGGTGAGGGCAGCGATGGTCACCATGGTGATTTCTACAACTTTAACGACAACTTTAATCCGGGTGTTGTTGTTCCCCACAAGTGGGAGCACATCCAGACATTGACGAAGGGTGCCTGGGGTTATAAACGTGATGTAGATGCGCAAGGTTTTATGTCACCATTGGAAATGCTTAGACACCTGGCTATGGCTATTAGGTAAGTGATGAGGTCGAGAAGGCAATAACCAATGTATATTAATTATTTTATTAATTAAAACTTTACATTTATCAATTCATTTAGTTGCGGGGGTAATATGATGTTCAATATCGGGCCCACAAAAGATGGTACTATTATACCTATAATGGAGGAGCGGTTGAGACAAATGGGAGATTGGCTGAAGATTAACGGAGAGGCCATCTATAGTAGCCATCCCTGGACTCATCAAAACGATACCACAACTAAAGATATTTGGTATTAATATTGAGATTTAATAACAATCTTATACATTTAGTTATAATTTGCATTCAAAACTATTGTGATAATAGGTATACATCTAAAGATAAAAATGTTTACGCGATTGTCTTGTTTTGGCCGAAGAATAATGAGGTAGAGTTGGGATCCGTTGCACACAATTCAGTCAATACTATCCAACTATTGGGAGCCGACGGCAACCTTAACCACAGGGCGGGCGGCGGAGACCACACAGTCGTTACATTCCCTCACATTAATCCCGAAAGTCTTAAAACCGCATATGTTTTGAAAATTAATACAAAATAAGATAAAATAAATACTTGTACTTATGATAAACAAAATAACTTATCCTAAATTATCTTATTATTTTTAAATAAATTTTATAATGACAAACAAACTATAGAATACATAAGTATAAACCACTGTATACTGTTATGCGTGCCAATTGTTTACCGGTTGGTAACTAATTAAAATACTAACCAACAGCTTATAAATAATACACGAAAAATGATTATATCAGTACAATATGTCCAGTAAATATTATCGTACATTATATACACCAATAAATACTGTACTTAAAATATTATAGACCTCCTAAGGAGAAACATCGCCTAGATAACTTTAATAACGTACATAGTTTAGTACATTAGGGCACAGTTTGGTCATGGATTCTGGGAAACCACAGCTAATAATCATGTTTTTATATACCTTAATAAGTATTTACGTAAAAATAGCACTCTATTAACAACATGGTATAAAGTGTCAGGTATTTATACCATTCATACCATTAATGTGATAATAGCTGTGGTTTGCAATCATGCCTTCAACGCTGTCTATTATATTACTTTCATCACTAGTTGTGGTGCAGGTGTTGAGCGCACCCAATGGTACCAAACCTACGGCCCGGTATGAGCCTAACTGGGCCTCGCTGGACAAGCGGCCCCTCCCGGCGTGGTATGACGAGGCCAAAATAGGCATATTCATTCATTGGGGCGTTTTCTCGGTTCCATCATTTACTGGCGAATGGTTTTGGTTTGTAATATAAATTTAATTAGTTTGACATAACTTTTACTTAAATTAAACATTTAGTTTCACTGACTTTATACTATAGTCTAGTAATTAATTTTAGTCAATTTTAATCAATAACTTGTTATGAGTTTATTTAGATTTTAGATAATTTAATACTTTAATTATTAATGACTAATTGATTAAATGAACTAGACACTATGTAATTAATAATTGCTGTGTAGGCATCACTGGCAGGATAAGAAGGAGGCGATGCCTGAAGTGGTGGCCTGGATGAAAGCCAACTACAGGCCCGGTTGGACTTATCAGGACTTTGCGCAACAATTCACGGCCGAGTTTTACGATCCCAACCATTGGGCCGATGTTTTCAAGTAATACATAAACTTTAAAATATTACTTTGTAAATTATCTCAAACAACATTCATTATAATCAGAGCATCGGGCGCTAAATACGTGGTACTGACCACTAAACACCACGACGGGTACGCAATGTGGCCCTCGAAGTACGCTTACAGTTGGAATGCTATGGATGTCGGGCCGCGACGGGATTTGGTCGGTAAGTGTGCTCATTATTATTACTTAAATTATTACATTTAACCTTATCTAGATCTGGTTTTAATAATTTAAAGTAATTTAAAGTACCTACCTGTCCCTATACACAATTTACACTAAATAGACTTTTACCTGATTTACTTGTAAAACATACTACTGTAGTGTATATTTAAATTAACCAAAATTAATTTTAACCATTTTAAAAACTAAGATTTACTCCTAATGTTTAGGTGATTTATCAAAGGCTGTGAAGGCATCGGGCCTTAGGTTTGGTACTTATCACTCACTGTTTGAATGGTTTAATCCCATCTTCAACGCCGACAAAGACACCGAATTTAAGACACAAACGTTTGTTGACGTATGAGATTATAAATACAAACTACTCTCTTATAAAACAAATATAAGTTAGAGTTACAAAACCTTAAACTAAATCACATTTTCAGACAAAAATGATACCAGAATTGCGTGAATTAGTGGAGACATACAAACCGGACCTGATTTGGTCGGACGGCGCCGGCGGTGGGAACTCCCAGTACTGGAAAAGTGAAGAATTTCTCGCCTGGCTTTACAATGAGAGGCATGAGTTACAGACACAACAAATTATATTAAAATTTACATTCATTTTAATCTAAATTATATTCACTTAACAATCAATAGTCCAGTTAAAGACAGTGTTGTGGTCAACGATCGATGGGGTAAGCGATTGGGAAAACACATTGCATTTTAAGGCAATTACAAACTATAGTATATGTTTTAATTAGGATCGGAAACTGACGGCAAACATGGTGACTATTACAACTACGCGGACCGCTATAATCCGGGTCATCTATTGGCCCATAAATGGGAAAACGCAATGACAATCGACAAGACTGCGTGGGGTTACTCCAGAAATCTCAATATCAATCAATATGTATCGCCTCTCGAGTTAGTCACACAACTCGCACAGACTGTCAGGTATTTAATATGATTTACCATAATTTATATAGCATTGTATTTAATTGTTTGTATTTGTATTAATGGCAATGACTGATCAGTTGCGGCGGAAATATATTGATAAACATCGGCCCCACAAAAGAGGGCACAATTATACCTGTATTTGAGGAGCGATTGAGACAATTGGGTGATTGGCTTAATGTCAACGGAGAGGCCATATATAGTAGCAAACCCTGGACTCATCAAAACGATACCATAACTAAAGATATTTGGTATTTATGTTCAGTTTTTATAGTATTTTATGGATATAATTATAATTTATATTTAAAAACTTTGTGACAATAGGTATACCTCTAAAGACAAAACTGTTTACGCGATTGTCTTGTTTTGGCCGAAGAATAATGAGGTAGAGTTGGGATCCGTTGCACACAATTCAGTCAATACTATCCAACTATTGGGAACCGACGGTAAAGTTGAGCACAAGGCGGGCGGCAGTGACCACACAGTCGTTACATTCCCTCACATTAGTCCGGAAGCGCTTAAAACGGCTTATGTTTTAAAGATTACCACTAAATAAAAATTTCTAATAATTTTGATTAATATTTTGTAATAAATTGTAATAAATTTCAATTGTAAGCAGTAATTGATAATAAATAATAATTAATCAATTGATCTAGTGAGTATTTAACTTGTTCGGTGCAGCATGCTCTTTAATTTGATAATTAGTTACTAACCGTGATAAAATATTATAGTTATTTAATTATAATTTTAAATACTCATATACTGTAGTGTAATATAATTGTTCAAGGTACAGCTTTACAAAGTTTTGTAAGTAACAAGTTTTGTTCATATTCAGTACACAAGGCTTATCTACAAATACTAATCTACTTTTAAATACTAGTGCATTGATAACATAAAACCTAGATCATATATAAACTAATAAAAGTAACGTATACATTATTACTTTTAATACATCCATAAGACTATCATGTCTTCAATGTTATATTTTGTATTACTTTCATCATTACTGGCTGTGCAGGTGTTGAGCGCACCCAACGCTACCAAACCCACGGCCCGATACGAACCAAACTGGGCCTCATTGGATAAGCGACCCCTCCCGGCCTGGTATGACGAGGCCAAGGTTGGCATATTTGTGCACTGGGGTGTTTTCTCGGTGCCATCATATATGGACGAGTGGTTTTGGTTTGTAAATTAATATATCAATCATTTTTTTATTTTACTAAATCTGTAACACACATTGAAAGACATTGTCTTAAACTAACGCATTAACTTGTAAGTACAATGGCGGCCCCTAATACTAACGCTGGCCCCGCTGGCCTGGTCACCATTTAATATGGGAACAATAGCATATTGTTAGGGGTCTTTGAAAATGTTGTCTATATGTCCCTAAGATATCGGGTACGGGAGTAGTGACCACTTTTATCGGGAAAATTTACTCTAATAAAAAAATTATTTGAGTGATATATGTGTCATATTATATATCAACGGAAAGGATTTTAAGAGAGGAATAGGAATCTGAAGGAATTACGTAATTCGGATATCAGATAAAAAAGTTATTTACAATATTAAAAATGTATTACACTTTTTGTACGTTATTTATGCTCTAAACGTTATTTATTGAAGTGATTTGTCTTTAGTTCTATCTAAGGACATCTCATTGCAAATAATTCATATTATATTAAATAGTGACCGGGCCAGCGGGGCCAGCTTAGCATTAGGGGCCGCCATTGTACTTTATTAACTTAATAACTACAATATAATGGTCAATTAAAAAACTTTATGACATGTAATGTGTGGGCACAGGTGGCACTGGCAGAGCAAGGAAGTGGTGCAAAGTGTGGTGGACTTTATGAAAGCCAACTACAGGCCCGGCTGGACGTATCAGGACTTTGCCAACCAGTTTACCGCCGAGTTTTACGATCCCAACCATTGGGCCGATGTTTTCAAGTAATATACAAAATAAGTTAAACAATGAATTATTTCATTAAGATTATATTCAGATCATCGGGCGCTAAATACGTGGTGCTGACCACTAAACACCACGAGGGATATACTTTGTGGCCCTCGAAGTACTCTTACAGCTGGAATGCTATGGATGTCGGACCCAATCGGGATTTAGTCGGTAACGTCAAGTGTTTTGCTACTTATAATCTAGTTTACATAAACCCATGGTTATCTACTATTGTTTTTAAAATGCACCATAAGTAATTTCAAGAAACTTGGTGATACTTGAAACTCATGTGCCCATAAAAGTCAAAGATAAAATAAATGTTTATCAATGAGTTTTACATTGTTTTTGTCATTTCAGGTGATTTATCAAAGGCTGTGAAGGCATCGGGCCTTCGGTTTGGTACTTATCACTCACTCTTTGAATGGTTTAATCCTCTCTTCAACGCCGACAAAGACAATGGATTTAAGACACAAACATTTGTCGAGGTATGAGATTATTATATATTTAAATATCCATTTAATTAAACTAATACTTAATATCACTGATAAAGACAAAAGTAAAGCCAGAATTGTATGAATTGGTGAATACATACAAACCGGACATCATTTGGTCGGACGGCGCCGGCGGTGGAAACTCTCAGTACTGGAAAAGTGAGGAATTTCTCGCCTGGCTTTACAATGAGAGGCAAGAATTGCACACAAAAAATCTATATTAAAATTTACATTTATTTTAATCTAAATTATTTTCACTTAATAATCATTAGTCCCGTTAAAGACAGTGTTGTGGTCAACGATCGATGGGGTAAGCGATTGGGAAAACATCCTGTTTATTAATCAGGATAACAATGTACATTGAATTATGACCAGGTTCGGAAACTGACGGCAAGCATGGTGACTTTTACAACTACGCGGACAACTACCAACCTGGTCATTTACTGCCACACAAATGGGAAAACGCTGTGACCGTGAGTAAGGGCTCGTGGGGTTATCACCGGAATGTCGATCTTAATGGTTATCTCACAACTCATGAGTTGGTGACACAACTCACTCAAACTGTCAGGTATTTTGTGTATAGATTTAGCATCATTTCTATGACTATAAGTATTTAATGAGATTGTAATGAATGGTCAGTTGTGGTGGAAATATACTGATAAACGTCGGGCCGACAAAAGAGGGCACAATTACTCCAATATTTGAGGAGCGATTGAGACAATTGGGTGATTGGCTTAATGTTAACGGAGAGGCCATCTATAGTAGCAAACCCTGGACTCATCAAAACGATACCATAACTAAAGATATTTGGTATTTATGTTCAGTTTTTATGGTATTTTAGGAATTTCTAGTTTATATTCAAAACTGTTGTGATAATAGGTATACCTCTAAAGACAAAACTGTTTACGCGATTGTCTTATTCTGGCCGAAGAATAATGAGGTAGAGTTGGGATCCGTTGCACACAATTCAGTCAATACTATCCAACTATTGGGAGCCGACGGCAACCTTAACCACAGGGCGGGCGGCGGAGACCACACAGTCGTTACATTCCCTCACATTAATCCCGAAAGTCTTAAAACCGCATATGTTTTGAAAATTAACTCAAAATAAAATAAATACATGTATTTATAATAAACAAAATAACTTATCCCAAATTATCTTACAATTTTAAAATAAAATTTACAAACACGCCTCTACATGTTGTATAAACTATCATATGAAACATTATAATATAATGTTTCATAATAATATAATATATTATATTAAAGACAGCTCACATGCATATTCATATCGCCACATACTGTATGTAGATTGACCAACTCCGATTTTATTTAAAGAGGACACAATCCTATAAACCACATTCTTCATATATGAATCGTGGTTAAAAATATTACGATTTTATTATAGCGTATTTATACAACACGTTGGGTATTTTGTATAAAATACAAATTTAAATAAATTATGTAAGTTAATCTGAATTTATTTTGCAACAATTTCTTAACATTAATAACATATGGTTTTGTAAATGAAATAATTTATTTATATTAAAAATACTTCAATAATTAAAATAATCACAATATTTATAAAGCATTATAAATGTATAGATTAATGAGTGAAGTATAATCAAACAGACTCATTATTGTTGTCATTATAAACTACAATTTTCACAATGAAATGTAAAGCTTTAGTTAAAAATAATACAATGGAAGGTATTAATGGTTTGGTAACCATTCCGAGTCCATGGGATCGCATTAACATACTTTCAAAACTTACATTCAGGTCATTTATTGAAAAATCTACTATATCTAAATTTGCATTTACATTATATATTAAATTGTAATATATTTTGTGTTTCAATTAGTTGGGTGTGGAGTCTATTCATTCGGGCGCACAAAAAGGACCTCGAGTTCAGTGATCTCTACCGCTGCCCAAAATCAGATGAGACACATCGAGTCCGACAAAAGCTGCAAATGTAATATAAAATTCATAATTAAAATTATGAAATCTTTATGTTTTGTATGTATTTGTATAGCAAATGGGATAAACAATTGAAAAGTAAAGGAAAGCCATCGCTATTTTGGGCACTCTTTGCATCGTTCGGGTCCGAACTTATTGTTCTCTATATCTGCACTGCTATTAGAGTATAATATAAATGATTAAAAATTATAATTATAATTATGATGAGCCAATGTTTTCAATTAATTTTATTTATTATTTTCTAATCAAATAGAATTTAGGGCTAAACTTGTTTCAGCCGTATTGTATTGTATATTTGGTGAGATATTTCAACGATGACCCCAACACTAGCCAGTGGTGGGCCACGTGGGCAGCCGTGGGCATTGTGTTAATAGCAATCCCATACGTGTTTATCACACATTTAAACCTGGCTTATTTCAACAAAGTTGGGGTCAGAATCCGTGCCGCCTGTTGTGCCCTAATCTACAGCAAAGTTTGTCTCATAGAAGTTTAGTAGATTGTGCACTAATCTAGAAATTTAAATTATATTTGTATAATTATATATAAAGTCAATGCGTTTAAGTCATTCATCACTCGGACAGACAACTGTTGGCCAGATATTGAACATTATGTCTAACGATGTCAATAGATTTGATGAGGTATTAAATAGTAAATTAAATATTAATAAATTAACTTAAATTAAAGTATTTAACCGTTACCTTTAACCATTATGTTATTATTTTTAAATGTTTAATAGTTTGCATTGAGATCGTCATCATTATTTGTGGCGCCACTGCAGGCGGCGATTGTGTTATACCTGTTGTGGTCACACTTGCGGTGGGCGTGTTTGACGGGAATGGGAATACTTGTGCTGTTTATACCATTTCAAGTACTAATGGGTCGTATGTTTCGGAGTATACGTCAAAAGACGGCCGAATTAACTGACAGTCGAATCCGTTTAATGCAAGA